TTACTAGCCTTGCACCTGTGCGTAGTGAGAATATGAAGGCTTGTCTCTTCAAGTTTCTGGTGTTCCGTGCAGCGAAGAGATTAAGCTAATAGTAATAAGGAATTGCATCGCATGCCACCTTGACATACAAAGCAGAAAGCAAGACGGACTTCATCGCATCCGTGAGCGACGATTTTCGCAAAGTGAGGGAAACTTCTAAAAAAATAGGGAAATTTTAGGCGTCCAATGCAAGAAGGAGAAACGTGAAGCGCCCGTCACGTCTGCGGTATAGACCTTTTCATTTCAGTAGTTGCCTGACCGGCGGATAGAGGGCGCTGGCGCACTCGTCGCCATTAGGTTGCTTCAATTTGGTCGGTTTCGGTTTTAACGTGCATGCGATTGTGATGCTGTTTCATGTCACTTTCGATTAATTTTGCGATATGAATTTCTTTCTAGTAGCACACAGCGAATGGAACAATAGTATTGAGCCACTTGGCAAACCACAAAGTGGTTTCGAGCCTAAATTGCGATCTTTTTTTACGAACACTATATGCGCCTGATTCCGTCCATCGTTAATTTCGGCCAGGTTCAGCGGTGAAACAACTGCGCTGATGCACAGGGAGGAGCACCATTGTCCACGGCCGTACCCGCAGACACTAATTTTAAGAAAAAAAAAAAAAAAAAGAGCAGGACGAGCTCCGCTTGCAGCGTGCGCTCGTTGCCTGCCGCCGTGATTTGGCTGTGCGTGCACCGAGCGGTGCGGAAGGTAGATAGCTCGCGCTTAAATCAGATATTGAACTGATCATCTTATATTGCAACAGACTATATTGCATGAGTGCTTAGTGAAAAAGCTGGTCGACAGCATGATTAACAATCTGCTGAATCACCAAGAACAGATGAACTGACAAGTTTACTGTTCGATGTTTGGTTTCCGTATATCAACCTTTTCTAACTTCGAGACTCGAAACGTCTTTTATAATGACTAGGAAAGTTTCATATAATCACGCAGACAATATAAAAAAGTGATATTGTCTCGGCCTGTTTCATTTAAAGAAATTAAGCGCTCAAGACATATATTGACAGTCCAGCCTAGGCTGACTGGAAAATTTATTTAACTAAAGTACTCATTTACAGCATTTCAAGATATTGGCCTTATGAAATAAACGTTTTGTTATATGGACATTGGCTTTCGACGTTCTTAAGGTATGAGAATGGTAAGATAAGTGAATGCCAGACTTCAAATAATGTCTGATATTCATCTTCGGTAAAATTTGCCGAACGAAATTGAAGAGCGCATAAGAAATGATCTCCGATAAGTTTGGTTCAAGTCGAATGCCAGGCGCCACTCAATGAACCTGTGTAGAAAGCTGTTCACTGATTTGAAGCGATGCGCTTTGCACATTTTGACGTCGCCAGCTACTGAAAGTAACTTCCTATTCGCCGTCGACAACCAGCTGCACTCGGGTGATTTTCATGCAGAACGATACTTTTCGGCGTAGCATTTTGTGAATCATAGGCACTATCAAGCTATCTGTGACAGTTTCTTACGCGGGAAGTTCAAATATTTTTGTTGAAATAAATTAATTGAAACTGCATGGTTATATTAAAAAAATGACTCAAGCAACTGAAAGACTATGGACATGGGACCAAGCACGATATACAATTCCGTGGAATTCCTAAATAATCCGATAAAGCGAATGCTTATATCACACATGCGATTAAGAACGTAAAACAGATATAGGTGTGATATTGCGAACAAACAAGTTGCCTAATGTTAAGGTACCATTATTTCTAGAATAAAAAATAATTCAAACTCAATGTTTGTTCCCGCGTCTTGTCCAAAAGTTCCCTAGTGTAATCAAACGAAACTGTTTTCGATCTGCTGTGACTACAAAACACCATGTTTTCAGGAAAAACACGTGGCTAATTACTCTGAGTGTTTTTATTTCCTTCCTTGACACCAATGCGCCCTCATATATATAAGAACATTGGGTTTCCTATTGCAAATGTTCCGCCCTTATTAGTAACCAAACCTCAGTTCTCATAAGTTATTGGTATTTGAACCCTCGAGGATCTCTTTAAGTCATATATGTATTCAATGTGCGCAAGTGCTAACGCTGATTCCTGTTCCTATAAAACCTTTTCACACTTATCCTTCACGTTGACGGTAAAAAATATTCAAAACGTGTTACAAAATCAACTACAGAAGTTGCGCACATAATGATGTAATGCAATTGCATGGTAAGTATAAGCATCGGAAGACACTTTACGGAGTAAGGCAACTTGCAAGAGACGCGGTGAAATGCGACGAAAAACACGAATTCAACGCATCCGCCAAGGCGCGGACGGGAGAGTGGAGCAACAAGTTGAAGCAACCTAATGGAGGCCGCATCACGTGATTCCAAGATGGCAGCGCCCATGCGGCGGAGGGTGAAAAGGTCTATACAGGCGGTCGCCCTCTGTCCGGAGGCCCTATTTCAGACTCTGCCCTTGACAATGGCGGAAACTGAACACTCGTTCTCTTCACTACGAGGGTTGAAAACGTACCTGAGAGCGCCCACTTCGAGTGAGCGACTGCTCGGTCTATACTTCGTTTCAGCTTAATTCCAGAAAAAGCCGATGCTACAGGCGTGAACATGTGGCTCTGAACAGTGCTTGTACTGCACGAGCGCTGAAAGCCCGGAGCTCGCACTAGTAGCATCGGCTACGTCTGGACCTAAGCTGAAACAAAGTATAGCGTTTTTGAACGTTCACCGCGACATTCAAAAAGCAGAGGACGTTCGGGATATTTTTTTTTTCCGTGAACGCAGGCGGCTTCATTTTAATGTGTAGGCGCTTGGCATAAATGAGATGATAAAGAGAACCTGTAAATTGCATTCTAATATAACTAGTCACAGTTACCTTTTAATTTGCGGTAATTTCTAGTTGAAAGCACGTAATTCTGATCACAAAAGGTGTGCGTGAGCGCAGCACCACCCGTTGCTTACAGTGTTTTTTTTTTTTTTTTTACAATTCATTTATTATTTTTTACATTACTGACATTGTTTTGTATTATCATCGTATGTTCGTTTTATTCTGTTCACTTTGGTTTGGTTGAACTGTGTATTTCAGTGAGGATAGTTCGTCATTTTTTGCGTTGAAATCGCCATCCTTCACCCCACAAATGTTTCGAAATATCCGTTCTCTATATATCTGAGATCAAGTTCGGCATCCCATCCAATAAACACGAATTAAGCAATATTGCATATTTCATTAATTTTAGCATTTTCCACCCCACAAACAATATATTCCGAAAGCCTCTAAGTTAGAGATGGTCCGTGCTGCCCCGTTGCTCGGTGCCTCGTGCAAAACCGACTGCGTGAGCAGGGGAATGAGCGGGCCCCGTTTGGGGGGGGGGGGGGGGGGGGGGGGGGGGTAGCTTTGGCATTTCGGGAGGGGTTTCGACCCCCCAAACCCCCCCCCCCCCCTCTGCCTACGCCACTGGGCTGTACCATTCCAAAATTGCAATCTGCAGCCAGTTTTTTTAGAGCTGCAACGTATGCAGTCACGGTCTCATCAGGTAGCTGGTCTCTTCGTTGAAATCTGCACCGGCTGAAGAGCTCCGACGGGCGCGGATCAAAATGAACTTGGAGCAAGGTGACGAGTTCCTCGAAGGAAAACTCACTTGGCGTCTTTGGTGCCACCAGTGCTTTCACTGTTTCAAAAGTGGTCGGACCACACAGTGTCAGGAGCACGGTGCGCCTCTTTGGGTCGTCCCCGATGCCGTTTGCTTCGAAGTAATATCGTAGCCGCTCCGTCCATGACGTCCAGCCCTTTCCGGAGAACTCCTCCATGGAGCCGTGGGTAGCCATGTTTTCCGAGGCAACAGGTCCGTCGTCTTACTCGTCGCCAGTTGATATTGTCACGGGTGGTGACCAAAAAACAATAGATGAACAGGAAGAAATAAACGTTTAATGTGGCGAACTTGTGCCAAAAATAAAAGAGTACAAAAGATAATAACAAAGCGTCGCGGGCGTCGAAATCGGCGAAACCGCAGGATTGAGCGCTGGGGCGAGACTGACTCGACAAGGTCGCGGGCGGCCTCTTATCTAGAGTGAGTCACTATCTCGAAGATTCGGCGGGGAAGGTTCGAGCGTAGTGCGCTTGGGGCGAGAATGAGCACGCACTTTCTAGAACAACAAAAGCAGGCATAAACGATAGAAGTTATGTTTGTAGCAAGAATAAACGAGAAGCTTCTGCAAGTCTGCGTAATACTGAGGAACGGTGTCCAGCACGGCCGTTCTTCTGTCCGATGGCTTCAGGAACCCACGCTCGAGCACACTGCTCGTGAACGTGCGCGCTCACACCCCGCGCCCGTTGCGTCATTCATCATCACATAATCCCCTTCACTAGACGCGGCACCGCGGGCCTCCTTGGTACGGGCTGTTGCCTTTCTGCGGTGCCGCGGCTCTCATGAGCAAATAAATAAAGATTATAACACTACTCTACCGATAATATCAAGAACACACGAAAACACAAACCGCCAGAATGTAACCGACACATTAGAACGCAAAATAATGTCATTTCTAGAAGCTTTAGTATGCTTTAGTAAACGATACGCAAACTTCGTTGCGAAGCTTGTTCACTGTCAACATCATAATACCTATGCAAATATTGTATGAAACGGTAATAAAAGGTATGGCCTGTTTATATTTCTGCGTTATACCTGCGTGAGAAAGCGCGGACACCGCTAATATCACCGTCAACCCGATCAAACCGGCACTACAATAATCAATATCAACTTTTCCAACAAGTTCTGGGCGCTGCCATCTTTTCAAACACAACTTCTCGTTGAAACGCATGAAACGATGGAATCTGTTATGATCATTTATATTTTATATATCTAACTAATGCTACACTACTTTATTGTGGTAAAGTGAATCCAAATATAAAATTTTAAGCTATCTGACTTTTCGGTGCTTTTTGGTCTTTTTGGCAACTGTTTTCAGGTTTAGCGAAATGTGTAAACTATAAAAGCAACCATGGGTCAGAAACGTTTTTGGCGTTTCCGGTTCTGGTGCTGCGGAGCTGCTCTTTTCGGCTCTGCAAACGTGTAATGTTTTGAGTTGTTCGGTAAAATCTCTGTGTCGAGCTTTTTCGATCATAAGATCGTTCCGTCCCCGGTTGACTCACTTGGAATCGCTGCCGGAGGAGGACATCTGAACGTGTGTTCATCGTTCAGCGCTTTTTGGGGCCGTTTCTAGCGGGCACCTTTTCTCCTCTTCGAAGTCACTGCGAACGCCGCTAGCGAAGCGAGCTGTCCACCGAAGTCTTTCACCGAGTCCAGACATGGTACGTGACCGTGTAATTTGACGTGTGTCCTTACGACCAGCCGACTAGTGGGTCGTCTTTATGAGTACGTGCGGGAGCCGCTCATGGTTTTTATCTGGCTGGAGGTAAAAACTTATCAAGGTTTTTACCTCCAGCTGGTTTCACAATTGAGTGATGTCGTGTTGTCATTACGTGTGTCGTATCCATTCGTTTAGAATTTAGCTCGTAAGATCCGTCCTTACGTCAAAGCACCAGCTAGGGGTATACTTTGAAGCGCAAAATCCCCTCGTTACGTAGCTATTTTTTCCGGTCCCATAAAGATCCGTTCCATTTTCTTTGACGCAAACGATCTCGAACTGCAGGTGCTGTTGGCAGCGGCTATTATGAGCAAGGCCGGGAAGGGTAAGGCTTCCTCTTTTGAAATCGATTTATTTAATTTGAACTGCCCACCTTCTGTGTGTTCCGTCGTGGCAGGGTGCTTTGTGGGTCGTGTTCTGTAAATCCGATCTTTTCTCGTTTTGAGGAGCTAGGGGTCAGGGGTGGCGGCCACAAAACATTGGCCGCCACTCTGAGGTCTCCAGCCCCTTTTCAAGATTTTGCTATCAGCGGAACTAGTAGCGGAACGTCGCTACTAATTCAGCGACGTTTCGTCGAATTTTTTTTATTTCTTTTTTTTTTTTCAGTGAGAATTGTAAAAAAGAAATGTGTAAATATCGCCAAATGTTTGATAAAAAAAATAGTATGCCCACTTTCTGAATCGAACCGGGGTCTGCTGCGTGTGAAGCGGACACCTTTCCACTAAGCTATGCTACAGCTTTATATACTCGTTTTGACAATTCATTTCATACGAGACCCAACAAGTTTCGCGTCGTGCGTATAGCCATTTCCAGCAAGGTGCACGATGTCGTGCGTATAGCTTTACTCCTTAGAAAATGCCACAGTGAGTGCCTAGAAGGTTTTGGCAGAGTTGGACGTCCCTTGATGGCAGCCAGCCAATGAGAGGACACTGGCGGCAGTATCTTTCCCCAGTTCCCATGCGGGCTGCCGGCAAAATATCCACTTCCTTTTTAATATGCGTGGTGTTTCAGACACGTCACCAATATTGACGAGACCTAAGTTCTACCGCTTGGGTGGGCACCCCAGACGTGCACTCTTTTTAATATTTGTAGTTTTGATGGTAGCCTTTCAGTTTTAACGAAGTGTTTTCACCTAGAGAAAGAGGAAATACCAGTTATCAGTCAGTTGCTCTAAGAGTATCATGCTACGCGCATAGTTTAGTCGGGCAATAAGATGTTAGCCATAGCTCATTATATAGGGGAAAGCCTGCACCTTACGCTCCTGAACAATAGACTGGCCGGTTTGCCTTAAAAGAGGGAGAAGTGGAGCGGCAGGTGAGGAAGAGGCATCTTTTAGGCAGCGCCACACGGGTGTCGTAAAGTGAACTACCCTCTTTTTTGTATTTTGCGGGACGCCAATTGGCCTCCTTCATACTTCTCGCTACGACTTATCCTCCTTTCCTAGTGCTCTCCGAGAGGAATGTGTTGGTAGGCGGATGCCCCGAGAGACTGGGAAAGGAAGGCAAATTGTGGTGGGAAGGAGTGATGCAACATACATTTTTTTTCTTTTCATGGAAAACAATGCAAGGAGTGAGAATTTTTTTACCATTTTTTTTTTATGTTTCGTCGTTCTGTTTCTTTCATTTTTTGACGGCCGGTTCCGGTGTATATGGTGAAGGCTTCTGCCCTATATCAGATGCAATGCGTGAGCAGATGCCAAACCACAAAGGCTAGAAGGCGGACTACTCTCGAGCGTGAGCGGTGGTAGGAGACACTGAATCTGGCGTCCGTGCAGCCATCATCTCCCGGCAGTTTGTGGAGATGAGCCGAGCGCGTATGGAGGGCCTGCTGTCGGCCTTCCCCAAGCTGCTGGGCTCGGGCAAGCAGCACACGTTTGTGGAGACGGAGAGCGTGCGCTATGTGTACCAGCCGCACGAGAAGCTTTACATGCTGCTCGTCACCACCCGCACCTCCAACATCCTTGAGGACCTCGAGACCCTGCGCCTCTTCTCCAGAGTGGTAGGTCGTCTTTCTCGCACCTTCCTTTCCTTCTTCTCAATATATTTCTTCTTTCTCTTTATTGCTGGCGGCATTTGGAGCTGTAGTGGCTATGAGAAGAAAAAAGCGCCGCTGGGCTACAATGTCAAAGTGTGCAATATTTCCCGTTAAAGGAGCTGTGCAACAATTTTAGGGCTTTGCTTAAATTATTGTGGAAGTTGATGCCTGACACTTCTGAAGTGAACTACAGAAAACAGATTTTGCCCGGATACCCTAGTTTTTATTTAAAAAAATGAAAAAGATGCAGGTTTTTGCCGCCTCTCAACTCGTACGTCGTCTTCCGAGTCACATGCGCAGTGACACTGATGGGGTAGGCGCGGGGTTCTGGAAAAGTTCTCTCTTTGGTGCCATCAGTGAGCAGCGAGAACTCATCCGCTCGCGACCGCGTGACTACGTGCTGGCTAGCGCCGCGCAAACTATCTGGTGAAAGGAGGAAAGTCTCATCCGGGTCCGGTCATACCCTTCCGGCCCTGTCCCCCCTCCCCCTTTGGCTTCTGGCGGCTGTTCGCGGTAGCACATAGCGCTGACGGTTTTGTGGACCTAGGATAGATGGCGCCACTAAACCTCCGTGTAAAAAAAGTTTTGTTGATAACACCAGGTTTTGGATGCATTTATATATATGTTGGAATGACAAGATTTATAGAAAAGTTACCTTTATCGAGCAGGTATTTGCACAACTTGCTATCTTATTATTATTATTTATCGTCGCGCTCGCAACAAGACAACATCGGAGATCAATACTCTACCAATGAGATGGTGCTCACAGGAGTACCACAAGGATCTGTGCTGGGGCCGATTCTTTTCTCTCTCTATATAAATGACTTGCCTAAAGCAGTTAGAAAATTAAACGTAACAATGTATGCGGACGATACAGTATTGCTGGCATCTGGTAACTCCTGGGGTGAACTGGAGAGGGAGATTAATCAAAACCTTAAACAGATGGAGAGTTGGTTTTTGAATAATAAGTTAACTTTAAACTACCAAAAAACAAATTATATAGTGTTTGCTTCCCCACATAAGGTCACTCCAACAGAAGCGCAAAATATACAAGTAGGTAATAAGTCCATTCAAAAGGTAGAACATATTAAATATTTAGGCGTGATTCTTGACTCTTGTTTCAACTGGAAACCACACATCGAAACATTATGTAAAAAACTGGGCTATTCGGTTTACACGTTACTTAAAGCCAGACAATACTTTAATTCGAAAACTTTAAGATTGATTTATTACAGTATTTTTCATAGTCACTTACAATATTGTGTCGTATCGTGGGGTTTTACATACCAAAGCTATCTACAACCGATAGTAACGCTGCAAAAGCGGGCATTGAGAATACTAGAATATGCAAGTTACAACGCCCATTCAGCTCCCTTATTTCAAAAACAACAAATAATGCCATTTCATGTGTTAAGAGACTATAGAACTGTAATTCTGGTGCATAATATTGTAATAAATAATATACCACTTCCATCACATATATTTGTACAATCAGGTAGAGTCACGAGGAATGTTCTCATAAATAACTTCAATACTCCGCCCTATAGCAATACTTATGGTCAACGTCTGATACAGTATGTAGGTACAAAAATTTGGAACTCATTAAGCACAAACATAAAAGAAAGTAAAACATTTGCACTGACTGTAAAAAAGCATTATTTGGAAATGTTGTAAAACATGCATTTTATTTGTGAGGCACAAGCACGAGTGCCGGGTCTGAACCGCATGCCTTATATTGGTACATTTGTATGGATCCAGAACTAGCCTTGCTGGCTAAGGATCCAGGGCCCATTTGCTCGAAGCACTAACCGCGGCTAAAGTTAGCCGCAGTACCTAGGAGAGGGATTTTGAGATCACGTGACTGGCTCGGTAGGGATGCGGGGAAACATGGCGGTGCCCCAGTGATTGAGCGCCCGTCTCTTTGGAACTAATATGCCGTTGTAGCTGCAATATCGGGCGCGTATAGTCAGCAACGAATAATGCAGGAGGCGTTCGTTTTGCCTTACCTCACTTAAACCGCAAAGCACGGGTAATGACATCGCCGCATTTTTTAGATGGTGTTTCGATTCTGGGCATTCCTAAGCCTAAATGAACGCGACAATTGTAGGCATGGCAACGTCTTTGGAACGCGGATTGTTGATAGCAGTTGACAGCATCCCGACAGACTTTTTTCTAAATTATCCAAGCATCGCGAGGAGAACGCTGAAAGTGTAATTCTACGGTTCACGCGCTCTGGCCTTCCTCTTGTAAAAGATTTGAAGTAAAAAATCATAATAAGGTTTTAACAAACGCGCGTGCAAGGCAAAGATTGTTTTATACTTTTTGCCTTAGAACGGTTACTACTGCAGACGCCAGCACGTGCGACGCGTGCAATACAGTCGTAGCATGCACCTCGGTGCTTGGATAATTTAGAAAAAAAGGTCTGTTGGGACGCCGTCTGCTTTTGTGTGCTATCAACAATCCGCTTTCCAGAGACGTTGCTATGCCGACAATTATCGCGTTCATTTAGGCTTAGGAGTGCCCAGAATCGAAACACTATCTAAAAAATGCGGCGATGTCATTGCCCATGCTTTGCGGTTTAAAGGGACCATGAAATGACCTTTTTACTTTTTCCAGATAACTTTTACATTAAACCGTCAATGTTCACTGAATGCCGAACAGGCATCCGTTTTCGTCTCGGTTTATTAACTTCTACACAAAAAATTATTGAAATATCGACTTTTTCATTCTCTCCAACTGACCGCAAAACAAGCCGTGACGTAGGCCGTTTCCGGAACCGGAAGTTCTCTCGGCAGTAGGAGAATGGGAGTGGTAACGGCAACGAGTTAGGGTGCGCCGGTAGGTTTTACTGCGCTGATGTCACCGACGTATTTCCTGAATCGGCGCCTCTCATCGCCGCATCGCAGCTGAGCGAAATTCAATGAGATATGTTGCGCTACAGCGACAGCATGGGACTAGTCCCATACGCCGGTATGCCTGTTGGGAAGTGCAGCGAGTCTTCCGGTGAAGACTCCAGAAGTCAACCACCCTGTCATTGTTGGCAGAAGGGCCGGCCCGTGTCAGTCGTTTGCAAAGCGACGTAGATGGCGTTTTTCGCGGCCTCGGAGATGCAGGAGCGAGCCGACGTTAGAAAAGATACGTTTGAACCACGAGTGTCAGCAAGAGCCACGTAAATACCTGTTTATACTCGGAGCGGACGCGCGCGCTTGATGGAAGTGCTGTATTCGCGCTGTTTGTAAGCGCTTCGGGACCGTTCTTTTACGATTGCAACTCGATACTGACGCGACACTCGGCAAAGAAAGGTTGGACCGGGGTTGTACGTATACCTCCCACGAACTGTTATAGCTCGACAGTGACGTGCAGTCTGTCAGAATAAAAATGGCATACCAATAACAAAGTGTACATACCGTGTTACGAAGGTAATCTATACAGCGTTTATTTCAGCTCTATATTACACAAAACAAGAAGATAGAATCGACGAGAGTCCCTTTTTGACGAGTGTTCGTAAACACTGCCTCGGAAAACAAGGGGAAGAGATTGACCTCACCTCTTAATCTAGAATTGAGGTCAGGGATCAAACTATAATACGGGAAGGGTCCACAAGGGTCGCGCGGGCATATTGCATTTAGCACGCCAGCCGGTCGTAGGCAGACGGTCTTGCGACGAAGCAACGCAGCGCCGAGTCGGAATGCCTGCTAGGCCTATATTCTGAGCAGCTCGCTTCGTCGGAGTCGGTGGATCCAGCGTTCTTGTTCGTCGTGGTCTGTTCTAAGTACTGTTTTCTTGCTGCTTGAAGTCGGCACGCGCGGGAAGAACACGTAGAAAAATAAACGTTCAGTCAGTCAGAGTTTTGAGAGGAAGGAAAACAAAGAAAATAAATGTTCGTCGGTCGCCGCCACCCAAGTAACTGTCGGCCTGCCCTACTGCGCACGTGCAGTAGTTGCTTCGTTTACCACACGATAGATGGCGCCTGGCTCTCAGCATTATCAAATTTGGCACTTTTCGCCACACATCTCTAATTATGCTACAAAATGTGGATCTGAATATTATTTAACCAATCTTTTAGGAAACATTCGCCGGCTATTTATTGTTTACGATCGCGGTGCTGGTGAGGTAGGCTCTTACCCAATAGGCGACCTGGATTTGACTGACGTGCTCCATTTCCGCGGATGCATCGTAGTGAACAGGCGAAGGAAGGAAGGCGCAAAAGAGTCCAGTTTTCTTTTAAAAGTTCTATAGCAAATAATTTTTTTTGGCTCCCTATTTTTGTGTTTTTGTGTTTCTTTTCACACCTTTTACGACGTGCGGTGGATGAAACTCTATTTTAAAATCATTTCATGGTCTCTTTAAGTGAGGTAAGGCAAAGCGAAAGCCTCCTGCACCATTCGTTGCTGACTAACGCACCCGATATTGCAACCATAACGACATATTAGTTGCAAAGCGAGCGGCGCTCACTTACTGGGGCACCGCCATGTTTCCCCGCATCCCTACCGAGCCAGTCACGTGATCTCAAAATCCCTCTCCTAGGTACTGCGGCTAACTTTAGCCGCAGTTAGTGCTTCGAGCAAACGGGCCCAGATGCGATATGCAGTGATTTTGATGTATACAAAATATGAATAAAGATTATTATTATTATTATCTTTCTATAAGATTCCCCATTGACGTCACGCCGCTTGTTTCTCATGGCCGCGGCTCGCGGCTGCAGGTCGGGGAATATTCTAAGTTTTGCCTCGCTATTACGTGGCGGAATCGCAACATTTCGATGAAAAGAGGTGTGTTTTTGTCATTTGTGACAAGGTGAACAATATCAAAAGCAGAAGATGCCAATTCTTTCAACGTTAAAATCGTTGCACAGCTCCTTTAAGTCCCATAGGAGCGCCTGTCCTTTTTGGGCAGGCGCTCCTATGGGAAAAAATATGGGGTGGTTGATCTTTGGGAATGACGTTACAAAGGTATACCAAAAGTTATCGATCAACGCTCCAAACACTCGCTATCAACCAGATGGCACAGGAGCTGATATTGCAGATCGTGGATGCAGCAGATTCACGTTTCACGGTGCGATCAGTAAGTGGTAACTCGCTATGAACTCGCATGTCACGGGAACCGGTATCGCTCACACAGATTGCGGACACTCCAAACTCTGGTTTCATTAGTGAGGTAAGCGTACGAGAACACACTACCAGCTTGCTTGTCACGCATACTGATACTGCAGATCGTGCAGTTGATGTGATTCCGATAAGGCATTGTGTGATATCCGACGAGAATTGGAGGTGGGCAATGTTTCCGGATTTTTAGCGAATGGATATTTCGTCAGAAAAGCGGAATGGACGATCCCTCGGGGAGGGGCGATCATATGGGATTTTACGGTAGTGTTTTATAGCGATGGCCATTATAGGCGAAGTTTTGCAGTGACTCCTAGTACACACGCAGCGAGATCTGCTTTCAGGACTACCAGTTACCACTTACGAGTTTTGGCTGATAAGCTGGATTATTCAAAACTAGGCCTTTTATGACTGCGTAAGGCTTTCGAAGCATCTGAGTGTCCACTCTCGTTCTTGCTGCACGCAGATCCCCGAGTACTGCAAGAACATGGACGAGGCAGACATTGTGGAGAATGCATTCAACCTCATCTTTGCCTTCGACGAGATCGTGGCCCTGGGCTACAGGGAGAGCGTGAACCTGGCGCAGATCCGCACCTTCGTCGAGATGGACTCGCACGAAGAGAGGGTCTACCAGGCAGTGCGGCAGGTGAGTCGCCGTTTCCGCAAGGTCGTTCTGGCTGTGCTGTCTCGTCCTATGTACTCCGAGTGATTGTTTTCTAGTGTAGAGTTTCTCGTGAAGCTCAATGTCGTGAAAAAGCTTAGTCTTTGAGGCTTCGAGGAGGTTCCTGCCAGATTCTTCCTACCAGCCTTAACTACTTTTGCTTTACTCAAACTCTAAGTGTGAATGGATATGTTGGTTTGAAAGAGCTAAGTATGTCCCACGGTGTAAGATAGTCTTTAGGTGAGGACACGGCGGGGCTGAACGCGCGGCGCGAGGAATCGGATAGTGTTCGTTCGACAGGCATCCGAAAGGCTGCATCTTCCGCTGCCACCGTGCCTGCGGCTGACAGTGTCGCCGGCGGCCAAATGGCGAAACTGTGTGAGAACGAAAAAAATGATCTCGTTGCCATGACACCCCGGTCCACCGTGGTCTTTCTGCACGTGCGACAACCTCGCTGGAGCTCTGCACGTGTGGTACATGAGGCGGCACGAGCCGTCTCGTACGTGCCCACGGGTCGACGAGTCACCTGCCGGCGCCGCTTCAAACCATAGTGACGGAGAGTGAAGAGTGAACTTCATCGGGCACGTGGCGAGGAGCGCGCTGTCCTCACCTGAAGAGTATTATCTTACACCGTGGTATGTCCTCACCTAGCTGATGGGCCAACTGTGTGACTGTTTAAAGCTAGAGGGTTACTAAAAAGACCATATATTTTTTTTGTTTCCCTTTTATTAGTTGTTATTGTTGCATTCCTCGAAACTCTGCACCTCTTCTAAAGAGTGGTGGGTCGTCTTTCTCACACTGCCCTTTTCTTCTTCTCAATTTATTCCTTCTTTCTTTTTACTGTTGGTGGCATTTGAAGTGGTAGTGGCTGCGGTATGAACAAAAGTGCCGTTAGGCTATAAAGTCAAAGTCAGCAATATTCACCGTTAAAAGGGCCCTGCAATCATATTTAAGACACATGCAAAGGAAAAAGATTTTTTTATACAGCTTAGATGGAAAAGGATATCATAAAACAATTTTACAACCAAGAAAAAAAATTTTTAGAACTATATTTACGGCGCCGTACGAATTTGTAGTTGGTGCCGGCGGGCGCCGCGGAAAAGTGGCCCTTGACGGGCCCATATTTGTCACGTGGTGCTTGCGCTCTTTCGGAAGCTTCCTATGGCCTCTAAAAGTAACTTATTCATCTTTGTTTGAGGTATAACAAAAAACTAGGGTGAAGAAGTAACTTTTAGAGCCCAAAGGAAACTCCTGAAAAAGCACAAGCAGACGTGATAGACCTGTGCGCCGGTCAGACGACGGTGGCGGCGCCCCGAAGCAGACAAACTTGTGCGGCGGCGGCGACGGCAGCGTGGAGAAATGCGTTGAAGCAGCATTCGCACAATGCTCGGCGTGCGGCGGCGCGCGGGCCTACCACGTGACCAGCGGCGGCTCCCGCGAGCGCCAACTACAAATTCGTATAGCGCCGTAAATATAGCTGTAAAATTTTTTTTTCTTTGTTGTAAAATCGTTTTATGACATCCTTTTTCCATCTAAGCTGTCTAAAAAAAGTTTTTTTCCTTTGCATGTGTCCTTTAAGCGTCTACCTTTTTGCGGTTTCCATGTCTCTTAGGGTTCGGGTAAGCCAGCGGGCACGGAGAGAGTAAATATCAGTGCGTCATATTTTAACCGCACGACACGGAAACCTCCTCCACCGACGAGAGCGACTCGCGGTACCGAAAGCGCGTAGAATGTGACGTCTTCGGTCCTGGGCTTACCATTGGTCAGAGCCGCTAAAAGCTTCTTTTTAGTCGAAATATAATATATAAGTGGTGCGAGCCGTTTCAATTATTTATAAAAGTAGTTTTTGTTCGGTATTTTAGATCAGAAAAGAAACAAATGATGCAGTTCATAAAGTACTGAAACAAGAAATGACCCGTCGACATACCTGCCACCAGGCGGTGGAAAAGGCGGTGCATAATAGAAAAAGTAGTGGGATCACGCGCCGACACGAAAAGGCCCCGGATGTGCGCGGCAGTGCTGCGGTCGCATGGACAGGAGGATCCGACCGGCTCTGAGCGTTCCGAAGGCCTTCGGCGAGAAGCTTTGTCTTGCGGTTTGGCCGTTTCGCGATATGGCAGCGCGAAGTGGCTCACATTCTGAACTGATCTTTACCCCGTGTTTGCTGTCGTTTGTGGCCAATGAAGTGTCATGCCGAATTAGTGTTTAATTGTGCAGCAAATGCAATAAGAGCCGCTCTGGCTGCCCGCTGCATACAGCCTATCCAGCAACATGCTATAGTGGCGCCCTGTCGTGCCATCGACATGGAGTGCGGCAGCCGTGAGCGCTTGATGAGCTCACTACCCCTCCTCTAGTTCAGGGCCACTATCAAGCAACCAAGGACATCATGAGGGAGGTTATTTCTTGCTTGTTTTTGTAATTTTAATTTGCCTATAACTTTTAAAATAAAGGGAATTTCGAGAAAAAAAAAGTTTCACTAAGTTACTACGTTCAGTGCTCTCAGGTTCGGGGCAAATTAAAAACCAGTAAAAACGTTTTTGCAGGGCCCCTTTAAAGGAATACTGAACCAAAATTTCAAACTCACAAAACAAGGCTGGACAAATAGGCGGGACGCTGCAAAACCCAAAAACATCACTCATACAGCAATATCTCTAACGGATTGCCGTATTTTTGGAAAACAAGTGCGCTATTAAGCACTGCCGCGATTGAACACGAGCATAAAGACGTACGAAGTAAACAAACTTCAAGCATGACTTCCGTATAATGCGTCAGCAGTGACTGTGGTTTTAGAGTTGTTGCCCACGTTTCTTCCACTGTCCCGTTGATGGCTGTCTGGGTGTCTGGCGGTGGCAGACGCAAGAGCGCGAGGCCAAGCAGAAGATGAAGGAGAAGGCCAAGGAGCTGCAGAGGGCCCGACAGGAGGCACGCAAGGGCGGCCGTAGTGTCCCGGGCTACGGCGGGGCCGGAGGGTTTGGCAGCAACAGCGCGGGCTACTCGCCCACGGCGGCCGTACCGGATTCCCTGGCGTTGGGGGAGCCCGTCAAGCCTTCCTACATGCAACAGCAGCAGCCCAGGTTCAGTGCTCTTTCTCCCCTCGCCGCGAGTCGGCCAGCCTTACCGTCGGACATCGTCGATGATGCCGAGTTGGCAGGAAAGGGAAACGCCGTTACCGGAAACCGTAGTCTACGCGGCGGGATTGGGTGGGACGTCTCCTCTCGTGCAGTTGGCCAGCTCCGCACTGCTGACCAATCGCAGCAGGCGTTGATCCCCCGATCCCTGGGTCTCCCTCTGTCCCGCCATGTAGATTAGAGCTCCAGTAGTCCTATTTAGGAGGGTAACCGTACACTTCGGGAAACGGGACCACAGTCGGTGTTGCGGGTGATCCGTTGGCCTGCTTCTTCAACCATGTCCCCCTTTCTTTCCTGAAGTGTATGTGGACCTTTTTATATATGAGATATAAGAAGATCCTCCTATATAGCCTAAATACTGTACCTCCAGAAAACAAACCCTTTTAGCTTTGTAGAGGCATAGACCTATTATTTATGATGACAGTGTTCCTTGACACTAGATGCTTTCGCCAATGAAGTTCGAGATGTCGGGTCGAATGGCTGTCCGCAACTTGCGACCCTGTTTCATGTGTGCAGCCGCAACGTGGGGTCCAACAAAGCGCTCAAGCTGGGCAGCAAGCACAAGGAGTGGGACACATTTGCCGACCAGCTCAAGCAAGAGGGAGAAAGTAAGTCGCCTCTTTGCACAAAGAAACAATAGTCTCTGTCCCTGTTTATTATTTCAGTAGGGCTTTTTTTTTTTATATACCGACATTACACTTTTATTATCATAGTATGGGGTCTCATGGAGTGGTAGTTATTGCTTATTGACAACGAGTTGCGGCATTAGACTCTCAAGGTGAGTCGATATAAACTAACAAGGAGCTTGAAATGGGTTTGAGTTCGCTTTGGTCGGCTATCGCAACTTGATGCTTAATTATCGGGGAGAAAGTGTAATTTGTTGAGCACAATGCCATTAGCTTGGGTGAACTCTAAATATTCTAACCCCATGCATTTGTCAAAAGATTTAAAGTGTAAATCCAGAATTTTAATCAAAATGTAGTGTGACTTGTCTCTACCAAGCGAGTTAAGATTTTAAAGGGCTGCAGCCACACTCGGCTACTAAGGCAAAATGCCTTCTTTTCTAGGCATCTCAAGCCCCACTGCTGCGAAGTCGCCCTCGTCGGCGGTTGCTAGGAACATTCCACAGCCAACAAACCTGGAAGCGTAAGTTTGGTTTTCATTCCTTCGCTTCTCGCAGTTATGCCGGTCGTTCTTCATCTGAGTTTTGCATCGCTGTCTTTGGTGGTGGCTTGCCATTTCACTTGTGGCTGTCCTTGTGAGGGCAGGCTTGAAGGAGAGGGTCTCTGAGCTACTCCCTGCAGGAAGGAGGAGGGTTGCCCTCTTTCTTGAATGGAAATAAGGAATTGAGGAAGAGTTTCCTCCTTCCTGGCTACTCGTCAGCATTTAAAGGTAGGCTGAACTGAAATTTGAATTTCGCAAAATAAGGCCGCAGAAGCGTTGAATGGGGTGCTACAAACTCCAAAACATCACTCAAACTTTAATATCTCGAACGGATGGCCGTATTTTTGGAAAAGAAGAGCTCAATCAAGCAAGGACTGTGATGTCGCGATCCTCCTGGAAGAGTTCAGAATGAAAAGAAGCGGTGTCGCTTCTCTCCTTCTTACTTTGGTTCATCAGCTGGAGGGGATGAAGCAAAGAGGAGGGGGAATTAGAGTTGTGTCGTGACATGTCTTGTCAGCAGTGTTCAATCGCATGCTTTTTTTCCCGAAAAGTTTGACCAACTGTCGGAGATATTGCTGTATGAGTAATGTTTTTTGGTTCTGCAGCGTCCCGCCTTTTGCTCTAGCCTTGTTCTGTGAGCTTAAAATTTCGGTTCCGCATCCCTTTAAGACAAGAAATCAAAGAAACTCCCAACCATGTGACTTTCTGTGTTTTGTGCTGATTATGCCATAGCTACGATGTCGCTCTGTGCCTCCATTATAAAAATGAAGTCGGACAAAATTCAAACAAAAGCTGTCGTGGCAAATCTCGCATCAATCACAAAAGGCTGACTGCAGCGACACTTTCGGTCACTCACAGTGTTAAAGGTTGGTAACGTCTAGCAGAGACTGACAAGACCGTTGTTCGAAGTGTGCTGCACATTTCTTGTCACATATATCGACACTCGGCCGTTGTGTATTGATATGGGGAGAGTTTGATACCCGCCCTTGCCCTGCAGTTTGTAGAAGTGCTTTGGTGATGCACGTTCACTGCATCCAGGGTGAACCTGAATGTGGAGGAGAAGGTGACTCTGACTGCCCTGAGGGACGGAGGGCTGCAGAATTTGGAGGTGCATGGCATGGTGACGCTGCGCATCACGGACGAGCAGTTTGGGCGCGTTAAGCTCCTCTTTGAGAACAAGGACGACAAGGGCGTGCAGATTCAGGTGAGCCAGTGCTGGGCCCTGCTGCTGTCATGAAAGCCATAACATTATGAGTGCACTCCAGGCCTTTGTCCAAAAACACAAATGTAAAAAAGCTTTTCCTTTGCAAAAAAAAAAAAAAAAAAAGAAATGTGCAGAAGTGAACAGGAACTGGAAGAAAACTTCCAGTTCCAGTACAGCAAATGCTGCAACTTCAGAAAGTATGTCCTGTTTGGATAACCCATAGAAAAAAAAACTAAAATGTTGAACATAAATTTTTTGAAAGGGGATAGATAGAGGGGACACATTTTTTAAAATAATTTTTTCACAAAGAAAACAATGTTTTTCGTGCAATGTTTATGCCATAGACACAATTTAGATGGAGGATGCGGCCCGTTCTAAGTCCTGCCCACAGATCGGTGGCCCCGTCTTTTACTACTGGATTGTCTCGGCTGCTTTGCCGAACATGCTTGCAAGCCTAGTGTCTCCCTTTCGCAACATCCGGTGCGTCTAGTCTGGCGTCTGACTCCGCCCACTTGTCGTGCAAGCAGATGCCCGGCATCGTCTGCCATTCCACCACCGTCCATTGTCTTCTGCAATGCCCAAATGCGGACATGAAAGCTGCATGTCGGTGTCCTTTTTCGCCTTCGTCTGTCGGCTTGTCCTTATCTAAAAACTTCTCCAATGCCCGCAAGACGCGACCATGAAAGCGGCGTTCTAGCGTTCCATCATGCACGAGCCATGGTCCAATACAAGCGTCTGTCATTGTCTGTCGATGTGCGGTAGAAAGTGACCGAGAGGACTAAAAAACATCAACACAATAAATATGCAGTCCTTCCAGCTTTTCTGTTCTTGCTGTTATTTTGTTCACATGGGATCCGCTTGCAAGGTGGGTGAGCGTCATGACGCACGACTAAAACGTGACCTAAACATATTCGCTTTGGCGGATCAGGTAAACTGCAAAACTTGAGAGTTACTTGCGGAGTGAAAGGACGAGAACATACCTGGATAAACTTGATGTGAGCCAAACGCTCGATTGCCTACGGCCAAATGGCTCGCAAATTCTTGCCTGCGTAGATATCTTCTCGGCATTGAAACGATGGCTGCAATCCTGGTGGTTGCGCAATTCACAGAGCAGCGGGGCCGCTTTGCGAGAACCAACGTCTTTATTTAGCATCAACACGCGCAAACGATCAAATCAAGCCAGATCAAGCAACATAGTTCTTGTGGAATGCTAGGCTTAGGCCAGTTCCGCAACAGAAACGAGTACCCGCACAGCGCTTCTGAAGGCGCATACTTGGGACAGTTGTTTGTTGCAAACTACATCGGTTGAGGAGATCTTCCTTTAAACACATCGGTGAACACAAAATGATCCGCACTCATCGAAGTGGACGAGCTCGACGAGTTACGCTCGTTGAGCACTCCGCAGATGCCGGCGGCCATGTTTTGTATCGTTTCACACCAGTGCAGAAACGGCAATCTTGCAATACTTTTGAAAACAATAATGACTCTATCTAGATTAACTGTTTCTCAAACATAAAAAAAAAAAAAATCTTGATTAAAATAATATTATGGCACGGAGGTACAGTTTTCCAACAAACATTTTGCATGTCAATCATCTCTCTGTCTAATGAGAGCTGAGAAAACATGCTTAGTTATCTAAGTACCGGGCAGGGCCTAGATCAGGGCTACCCCCACCTAGGTATATTGCATCTAAGAATGTAAATATTGCTAAAAACCTTTTGTTCTGTTTTTGTTAAAGAATTAAAAACAAAAAAGTGTCCCATACAAGCTTTCTGAAAAGAAACTTTTATCTTCATTTCAGTGTCCCTTTAAGGGGTGGAAGTTTTCAAACTGGGTTTGTTCCTTTGGGACACAGATTTCTCGAAAAGACTTCTCCCTGTGCATATCTCGAGCGCTTTTTCATGTAGCCACGGCCGCGCATGAAATAACTCCGTCTTGTATACTTGTGGAACTTCTCTGTATATTAGTTCATGTTGCATCTGTGTATTGGTGTATGTTCAATCAGTGTATTGTAGGCTTGTGCTGTTTATAAACTTTAGAGCCCTTGGCTGTAGACACGAGCAGTGATTGGCACCTCATCTGCTTTTCTGACCCCTTGTAGTGCTCTAGAGACAATGCTAGTTCATCTGTGTGCATGGGCTTTTTCTTGTCCGAAGCCTGAGCACTCGAGCACATACCTTCGTGAGAAGTTCCTGGTATGCATGCTCCTGCTGCACACGCTCTGTCTGCTCGTGCTCGTGCACCACAAAGTACAGTGCAACCCACTTATAACGATACCACATATAACGATGTACCACTTATTGCGATAATTTTCTAAAGTTTCTAGACTGGAAAAATCAGTTTCTAGTCCAGATACAACGATAATCGGTCATAACGATTGAAATTTGGGGTTTTCTCATTATTGTTATAAGTGGGTTGCACTGTACAGCACTGCACGGGCCCAGGCCAGCCTGAAAGCCCAAGCCCGGCCTGGCCCGCGGGCCAGGCTCAGGTTGGGTAGCATGGATTGCCAGGCTCGGGCCGGGCTCAGGCTTATATTTAAAAATTTTGTCAGGCTCCGGTTGGGTCCAAGCTTCTGTCTGAAAATTCTGCCGGGCCCGGGCACTGTCTCTTCCTGGCCAGGTCAGGCCGGACCCAGAAATGAAATATTCCGTCGGGCTCGGGCCGGGCCTAGAAATTCCGGCCCATGCAGTGCTCTACCACAAAGTCGCCCCCCCCCCTTTTTTTTTTGTTTGGGTGTTGCAGGCCGTTTGGTATGGGCATTCGGCCAATCTGCCGCACCCCGTCTCTCCTGAGCCAAAATAAATGAAATGAAATGAAAACAATATCTCTTGTGGGATTTTATGCCAGGTTATTTGTGACCTCCATTGACAGAGTCTTGCATTAGACGAGGTTGCTGCGCCTATTGTTGCAGTCAACTCTTTAATTGTGCGTAAAAACCACGAGACACACTTCTCTGGCTGGATTGTTGCCCCTTAGGGCAAGGCAAGAACGCTTGTCTTTGCCCGTAAACAGACTCGCTTGCGACTCGGGCATCTTTCTAACGTCCTACACCTCCTGCTTGCAGACGCACCCGAACATTGACAAGGAGCTGTTCAAGAGCAGCCAGCAGGTGGGGCTGAAGAACCCCTCAAAGCCGTTCCCCATCAACTCTGACGTCGGGGTCCTCAAGTGGCGCTTCCAGACTCAGGACGAGAAGATGGTCCCTCTCTCCAGTCAGTGCACGCCGCTCCTTTCTTTTGGGAGTGTCGCAGGGAGATGCATTATCTATGCGGAGCGCAAGTTTGTCTGCTTCTTGCACAGGGGGTTGTGATGATGTTAGAATGCCGAGCTCTCATTGGCTGATTGAAAAAAAATAGTGGGTAGACCTCGAGGCATTTAGAATTGAGATCTATTTACTATCCTTTCAACCACAGCCAATCAGAGCTCGGCATCGTTATGATGTCACTAACTCCTGCACAAGAAGCAGACAACTTGCTCTCCGCATTGGTCGTAGACTCTACGGTTTTAACCGAAAGATGCCGACAAACATCCGCCTGTGTCGAAATATAAAATCGATTAAATCCGAAAAACACGGACTTCTGTAACTTTTTGCTCTAAGTGAGGACTATTTTTGTCGAAACCTTCCATTTATAAGGCTGGTTCACTCACTTGCATTTGCTTACGACCTAGTTCTTGCGATCTCTTGCAACGCTGGTGCCATCTATGAGGTGTCTCTGTAACTGCATTTCAATTGAGCAAAGGTTTTGCGGTATGTATTTGCGAGGTCAAATGTGTATATACTAGCTACGAAAAATGGTTCTTCTTAGCATTGTCAAAAGTCTTCCGAGCCAATGCGGAGCGCAAGTTCGTCTGCTTCTTTTGCAGGGGTTGTGATGATGTCAGAATGGGGAGCTCTGATTGGCTCTGATTGAAGGATAGTGGGTAGACCTCAAAGCAGCTCGCTTTGAAGTCTACCCACTATCCTTCGATCAGAGCCAATCGGAGCTTGGCGTTCTGGTGTCACCACAACCCCTGCAAAACAAGCAGACGAACTTGCACTCTGCATAAAGAAAGAATGACACGCGAATGGGTAGGAAACAGACATAAATCACGAGCGTTCTGTGGCTACTCGATAGGTGGCGTTGTATGTTTTCTCGTTGTAAGGGATCACGACAGGTTTTAATGCACTCGGTCGTAAGCAGATGTGGGTGTGTCAAGCAACCTTCAGACGTTCGTCAGGCACACAATCTTGCCTAGAATCAAGCACCCAGCCTGTCCTGAATTAGTGGAATCACTAACCTTGGAGGACAGTGGCATGAGATTTATGTCAGTTAGTCCGCCACTACAGATTGTCACCGTGTGTTTGTCTGTTCAGTTTAGATCTTTACGGCAGTGTTCGAAGCTACAATGGTGGTTGTCATTGATAGAATCTTGCGAAAGAAGAGAGAGCAACTTGCCTTCCTCGTAGCGGAAACATTTTGCTTATGAGCTATTCATTTCCTGTCATCACATGAGGCGGAGTGGTAGCGGGTTAAAAAGAAAAAGTGCTCCGGATAATACGTTAAAGAGTACCCGGACTTGAACCCGTGCTTGGACCTGTCCAATGTTTGCAAGTAGTGTCGCATTATGGCAAACATGAATCATTGGCTGCGAGCCAATTGTAGGGGCAAGTTAAATTTTAAGTCTTAGTTTTTCATGAGCTTTTCTTGGTGTTTAGAACATCTTACAGTTGAGCCTTGCTACTCAATCGTCGTACAAGCAAACCGACTAGATGTGCGAGCTTCCTTTATAAAATCGTCGAGCTATTTTTGAGTACATGCTGCTCATTCTTAAAAAGCTTGCTTACAATTTACACTATTCAGCCATATTTTTCTGTCCAAAGTAGGACAAGGTAAGGAAGGCATTTATCCAGTCCGTCCCAGCTCCTATTTCAGCCTGTCTTACCTGTTCTGTTCTGTTGATAGCTTCATCCCAACATTTTTGTGGGTAGCCAGAAGGATGGCAACTGCACTGTCATTGTGGCGAATGTCCGAAGTGCCCTGTTGTTCTCTGCCTCTCCAGTCAACTGCTGGGTTTCTGAAGCCGGTGGCGGAAGCTGCGACGTGAACATCGAGTATGAACTGGAGCAGGAGCATCTTGAACTGAACAACGTGGTCATCAGCATTCCCCTCATGTACGTACACGGGAGCGCAATTTCTGAGCTTCTGTTCTAATTTGTCGTGACTGAGTGGGAACTTCGACCGGTCAGCAGTTTATCAACTTCAGAAAGAAGGGAATGCTTTGTTTGCCAGTGGCTCTTTGCGTCTCTTCTGGTACCTGATTTTGTGCATTTTTTTTTTTTCATATTGTAACTGTTTAGTGTATGTATCGCACAAGGTTGTGTTACACTAGAAAGAAAGCTGTTCAATGTGTGAAAGAGTACCTTCAAATATGGAGCATTCGCGCATTTTACAATAACCGCCCACCCCTCAATTTTGTAACTTTCGGAAAATGCACTAAAGACATATCTTTACACATTGTTGACCTAAAAAACAACCATCCCCTAGTTTTACATGATTACTCTCTCTAAATTTTGGGAGGGGCTCGTGTTATTAGAGGTGCATGTTGGCTGTTCATGAGCTTCAGTGACTTCCATTGTTTGTTTATGTGCTCATATTTTAGTGGCAAACCTTGAGAGTCTGCAACCTATGAAAAACTTGCACGGCAATCGGGAACTATAAGGTAGCACCCTTATTTTAAGGTGGCTTTATAATGCCATATGAACATCTGTATTGGTGGATTCAAAAGAATTCAGCCCTCATCATATAGTCACCTGTGCATACTGTAGGACAGGGGTCTCAAACTCATTTGAGTGCGGGGGCCAGATAGCCCATTCCCGAAAGGTCTAGGGCCAACCTAATGGGGGGGGGGGGGGGGAAGTGGAGAGGATTTTGATGAGGAACCTTGTGCTCCATTTTTTTTTTCTTTTTTAAACTTGCAGTGTAGTTACTGACATCTTCAGCTTTGATTTGTTTATAGAACTAATTTGGGTCCTTGCCTGATGTGATAACAAGATCTAAAATGGCACCACTCCAACGAGAGCAATCCCACTGCCGTTTTTTGTTCACCAATTCATTCGGAACTTATTCAAGCTCTAGATTTTTAAAAAAAAAAGAAGGAAATCTCTTCATATGACAGCGCTTTGTTTCCTGGGGATTCTTGATAGCAGCAGTCTAAAAAAATACTTGTAGTTGGATGGCAATATTTTCTGAAGGCGAAAATCTCAAGCTCTTAGCTTTATCTTTGACCATTCCTCTGCTGAGCGAGAGTTTGTGCAGCCAAAGTGTGTCCTTGAGCAAAGTGCTTGCGCTTGCAACCTAAAAGCGAAATTGTGGTACAGGTGACTAACGTGAGAAAACTTGGGGAAGCAAAATATAAAAGAAGACACAAGGCAAATAAAAAGAGAAAGGTAACTGTGTAAATACGTTATAAGAGCGGAGCTATGTTTCGAGCGGGAATAAATCGGCAAAATGAGATCATTATAGCGCATGCCATTTCTTGCGCCTCAAGGCATCGGAACGAGGGCTCACAGCGCGTTGCCCGCGGGCCGCGTCCCAGCGGCCCGCGGGTCGCGTGTTTGAGACCCCTGCTGTAGGAGCTCTCTTTGGTTAACACTGAAATTTCAAAGACGTGGATATTGCCGCGCCCAGGGCTGAGAAAGCAACGCTCAGTCACGGACTTCCAGAAAGTTCTCGTTTATTCATGTACCGCATGTAACTTCACTCATTTATTCCTGCTTTTGTTTTCTAGAAAGTGCGTGTTCATTCTCGCCCGATCACGCGACGCTCGAGCCGCTTTCGCCGAATCTTCGAGATAGCGACGCACTCTAGATAAGAGGCCGCCCGCGACCTTGTCGAGTCAGTTTCGCCTCAGCGTTCGACCTTGCTGCTTTGCCGCCTTCGACGCCCGCGACGCTCTGTTGTTATTTCTCTATTTCCTTTTATTTTTGGCACAAGTTCGCCACATTAAACGTCTATTTCTTTCTGTGTATTTATTGTTTCTTTTGGTCACCACCCGTGACATTTTGGTGGAGGTGCGGGGCACCGCATGCCCCTGCCGCGTACCCCTCCGAGGGCCCGCAGTCCAAGTCCGACGCCTAGTCCACGAAGAACCAACGAAAGCACTTCCGAGATCCGGTTCAGTCGTCGCACCCAAGGCCTACACCCGGAATTCGGACCTCTGCCGCCCAAGACTAAGCAGCCAACGAGACCAACGATGGACAGCCAGTCGTCGCAGAACCCGTCCACCGCCAGCGTCGTCGTCCTGCCCGTCGCACCCCGGACTCCGACGCCTTTCCACGGGGAGATCCACGAAGACATCGAAGACTGGCTGCGACACTACGAACGTGTAGCCCGCCACAACGGATGGACGACTGAGCAGTGCCTCCACAACCTTTACTTCTCGCTTGAAGGCACTGCGAGGCACTGGTTTGAAAACCACGAAGCCTCCTTCCCCACATGGGAGTCCTGCGTCGCCGAACTCAAACGAACATTCATTAACCACCATCGTCGCCAGCGAGCAGAGGACCTGCTTCAAACAAGGGTGCAGGGCCCCAATGAAAGCCTGACCAGCTTTGTAGAGGATGTTCTGCGTCTAAGTGCCCGAGCAGATCCGGAGGCCGCTGAGGAAAAGAAACTTCGAATCCTCATGCGAGGCGTCAAGGCAGAAATTTTTGGAGGCCTGGTTCGCAATCCCCCGACGACGGTCGATGCATTTGTGAGTGAAGCCACGAACATCGAGCGCGCACTGACGGCCCGAGCAAGCCACTACCACCGACTCGCCGGCGCGCCTACTTCTCCAACCGTCGCAGCTACACTTCCGGACCTGAGCACCACCGGTGTCGACAGCCTTCGGGATATCGTCCGGGATATCGTCCGGGAAGAGCTCCGGAAGATTCTACCTGCTGCAGATCGCCCAGCCTCACTCTCACTCGCCGACGTCGTCCGAGAGGAAGTTCACCGAGCTTTCCATCCCGAGGTTGCCGTCACCGCAGCAGCACAGCAGGAGCCAGCCGTAAGCTACGCCGAAATGCTCCGCCGAGCACCATCAGCACCGCGTCCGTACATGGCGCCTCCCGGACGTGTGCTTCCAGAGCCGCAGCATTCCCGACGCCAGGAAGATCGGGCACACGTTCGTCCAGAACAAGTTGCGCCAAGGAAGACCGACGTGTGGAGGACGGCTGATCGACGCCCGTTGTGCTACCACTGCGGGGAAGCCGACCATATCTACCGACGATGCCCCTACCGCCAGCTCGGCCTACGAGGGTTCGCGCCCAACGACCCTCGACCACGTCTTGGAGAGCGACCTCGGGACATCGAGGACTACCTCCGCCGCTCTTCAACTCCTGAGTCGTCTCCCCGCCGAGTATTCCGTTCGCCATCTCCCCGACGCTCGCCATCGCCCTTCCGCCGGTCTCGCCGAGACAGCCTGTCACCCATTGCGTCCCGTCGGGAAAACTAGGCGCGGCAATGCCGGGAGGTGGTGTTGCCGAAGACGAACGATGCCAAGATCCTCCAAGATCGTCGGAGCTCTCCCACTCTAACGCCGCAACGCCCCGAAACGACGTTTCTGTAACAGTGTCGAACAACCTCAACGTTATCATCGACGGCCACGACGCGACAGCACTCGTCGACACCGGAGCGGATTACTCCGTTTTGAGTGGGAGACTCTCTCGTCGCCTTCGGAAAGTTACGACGTCGTGGGATGGACCACAGATACGAACCGCCGGCGGACACCTCATCACGCCTGTCGGCAGGTGCACTGCTCGCGTTGAGATCCATGGTGAAACCTGCCCTGTCAAGTTCGTCGTTCTGCAAGACTGTTCGAGAGACGTCATTCTCGGAATGGACTTTTTGTGTGAATACGGCGCCATCATCGACCTTGGGGAGAACAAGCTGACGCTTCGGAAACCTGTTCCCTCGGCGGAAGATCCCAAAGCGACGTTAGCTGCAGTGCGAGTCCTTACCAGCCACGTAAACCTGCCGCCGCTGTCCAGTGTCTTTGTCCCCGTCGGGACCGACGAAGCCACCTGCGGGATAGCACTGTTGGAAGGAAGCGTCCAACTTCTCCTTGGACGAGGGATTGGTATTGCAAGGGGCGTAACCGAGCTCCAGGACGGGCGTACCGTAGCCCTTGTCACCAACTTCCGGCAAGAGTCGCAGCACCTTACAAAGGGTACAGCTGTGGGCTACGTCGAGGAAATTCAGGACTCGGCCGCCATCGCCGTGATCTCAGAAGACGCCTCTCCGACGCACCAGAAGGGAACCACGCCGTCAAAGCTCGACATCGACCCATCCCTCCCAGGCCCACAACGACGACAGCTGACTGACGTTCTCGCTGAGTTCAGTGAGTGCTTCGCCACATCGTCAAGGCTACGCCAAACAGCGGTTGCGAAGCATCGAATTGTTACTGACGATGACGTGCCCCCTATTCATCAGTCGCCGTACCGAGTTTCGGTGAAGGAGAGGGAAACCATCCAGAAACAAGTTCAAGAAATGCTCGACAACGATATTATTCAGCCTTCAAGCAGTCCGTGGGCCTCTCCAGTCGTGCTGGTGAAGAAGAAAGACGGAACCCTTAGGTTCTGCGTGGACTACAGGCGGCTGAACGCTGTTACAAAGAAAGATGTCTATCCGCTTCCCCGCATAGATGACACCCTCGACCGTTTACGCCACACCCGGTTCTTTTCGTCGATGGACTTGAAGAGTGGCTACTGGCAGATTGAGGTCGATGAACGGGACCGCGAGAAGACTGCCTTTGTCACGCCCGATGGACTTTACGAGTTCAAGGTGATGCCCTTCGGACTCTGTACGGCGCCGGCGACTTTCCACCGGGTCATGGATACTGTACTAACGGGACTGAAGTGGCAGAGCTGCCTCGTTTACCTGGATGACGTCGTCGTTTTTTCGCACGACTTCGACGAGCACTTGAAACGGCTTAGGGCCGTGCTCCAAGCCATCAAGACCGCAGGGCTCACACTCAAGCCAACGAAGTGCCGCTTCGCCTACGCCGAACTTAAGTTCCTTGGTCATGTCGTTAGTAGCGAAGGAGTACGCCCTGACCCCGCGAAGACATCCGCCGTAGCCGAATTCCCTCGACCATCGGACAAGAAGGCCATCCGCAGATTCCTGGGGC